TATCTGGAATCAGTAGCTCAACAGATAAGGTATTGGGCATTTGAAGCGAAAGGTACTGAGTTAGAATTGCCGTGTGAACACCAACACTGATGCATGTAAATCCATCTGACAAGTCCCAAACAAGATGAGACATGCATCTTAGATTCCACGGCTAGTCATATACTATATCCACTAATTGTATAAACTGTCTGAAAAAACGACATATTTTACGTGACAATTACAGAAAAACATTGGTTGAAGTTGGAGATGAGATGGGAAATTCTTCAGTTCTTTTCTTCTATAATATTTATGATTCTAAAAAATTATCCTACCTTCGTCATCTCTAATCTTGACTAATTCTTCGCTTGATGTAACTTTCTGTGTATCAAATTCCTAAGCTAAAATCACCACATCAGATGTCAAAATCAAATCTGGTTAACTCATTCACCAGGTAATTGAGTATGGACCACCTTTTAAGTGTGAGAGCTAGTGATACTAACCGATTGCCCGAACCGAACCTGAGACCTAATAGCTGAAAACTCGGACGTCTTTCGGTAGAACAAGTCTTTTAAAGCCTACGAGTTGCAATCAATAGATTAGGTTGAAACTACGAACTGCAGTATCTTCATGTATACCTATATTTCCGAATTTTCAGTCATTAGAAATGAAGTGATAAACAAAATAATTCTTTTACACTAACCATCATACATAAAAACAAACGAAGGAAGTAGAAGCGCAATGGCTATGACAAACTAAAAACACAATTAGTAGACAACAGACGAATAACACATCACTGGTGAGTTGGCTTTTATAATTAAAAAAGTGTCCAAAAGATCTCGTTAGAAGGCATAAATCATGATCACTTAGATGACGACAGTCAGGGAGGTTGATTATGAATACAGTGGTCTTGAATGTTGTTAGAAGTATGAGGGTTGTTATCACTTCCCGGTTGCCCACACCGTGGAAGGGTTCTTCTAGAGGTACCTGTAAAGGAAATTGGATTATAGGTGGTCTTAGTGGCCCGAGAGCGTGACTGTAGTGCCCAAGGGACAACTGCTTGAGGTCTGCCAGACACGGCCTTATTGTGAGTAATTTTTGTGTTAACTCCGTACTTGGTGAGACCTTATCGACGGAGACGGGTATCCGTGGGATAAGGCGAGATGTGTATTTTTAAGGTCGACCTTTTTTAACCCCACCCGTCTTTGTAGGAAGGCAGCATCGCTGTTATGCTGGTTGTTCGAAGGAAACAACTTACTGCCGTCACACCTCTGTACAGTCAGCAGTACGAGTTCGCTTTCGAACCTGCTTTTAGTTTTGTCGTTCTTCAATCGACCTGTCTGGCATGGTAGGACCTTGAGGAGCGATTGCTCCAGACAGTATGGCTCGAGTGGTTCATCACGATAGGCAAGCCCTACCACCACGTTAAGGTACCAACTGTATTCCAGTAACCGGTATTCAGACTACAATCTAATCACTGGTATGATTAAAAGTCTGACTAAAAATGTTCAACGCCAATTAATTTATACATTAAAAGTTCGCCTTTAGAAAAAGATCAAAGTAAAATTAAGTGAAAAAAAGCTAACTTACAACCACACGAATAACGAAAACCCAGTAATATAAAAATTACGTTGAGCACGGAACATACGCATCAAGTAAAGAGATTCTGTTTCTGGACGCATTTCATGAGGATGATCTTTAATTGAATTATAGGCTTGTCTCAGTACCCATATATTACGAAGTGCTTCTATGAACAAAATTTCAAAAAATCAATAACATTTATAAGATGGTATTCTGCACAAAAATTACAAGTAAAATATTCAAAACAAAACAAAACTATATACCCTTAAATAGGAGGATTATGACTAGCAGTCAAATTCGAAACTTGTCAACTGAATTTACTCACATTCCAAAGCTGATATTCAGGATACTAAGATCTAAGTACATCTAAACGATGAGTCTCAAATAGGACGAAACGTGTCATCTAGCTATAATCTATCTATTCTAAATAACTTGAGGACAAAATGGCTATATCGATGCAATAGGGACAAGATGCATATACCCCAACAAAGATTGATCAAAAACTGATCCCGATTAACAACAATGGGATAATACAAACTATTAGTAATAATGATATAAACATACAATTGAATACAACTTATGATTCTCTTAGTTAATCACATTATTTCTCGATTACCATATACTTCTTAATATCTCAGAATCGATGTCAATGGAGTCAGTGTATACACTCTTTGTCTTCCCCCAAACTATGAGATTAAAATCGCTTCATATCGTTCTTTCTACGAACTAATTCTTTCTTCCGGTACTATGTCCTTATATGCAATCTTTCTTTTATATATTACCACCACTGAATTAACTACTTCTATGAATTTGGTGTTCATTGTGTTGTTGAGGTATGGCAACTTGAACCGATACATATATGTGCCTGGTCCTACGTTGTAGCTGACTGACTGACTGACCATACAATATACCAACAAATTAGAACTGTACATTTAATTTTATTTATTTATTTATTTGAACACATAGATATCGGTACAAGGGAGCAACAGATACATATGCGCCACACAAATCTCATTTGATATGTGTGAGGCCTGTGATACTACCTGGGTGCCCAAATCGAAGTTGATGGTTTTCTTAGGGGGCCACATCCGGAGACTTTGACCTAAAAGTCTGATGCACAAGGCAGTGGAGCGACGTAAGGAGATGCATTCCCGTGGTAACCGGTGACCAATAACTGGTTCATACGCCATTTTTTCCTTAAGGATACTGGAGCCCATGTGAATTGACTAGGTACTTATTAGGTTACGAAGTCGTAGAAAGGTTTGTTTTTTTGTTTTATTTTTTATTCCATACAACTTCATTTCGAATGTGATATTTAATTATATCATTTTAACATGTTTTCTTAAAATTTTTGAAACTGTTAAGTGTCTTACATTAATTATTGATTCATTCGATATTTAAGTATAATAAGTTGTAAAATACTTGAGATTAAAAAGCATTCAGTTAGGGGCAATGTTGAAACCTGATATGTGTGCATTGGCTCAAGTTGCTACGCGAAAGAGATGGAATTAACAAAATGAGTAAAAAAAGGAATGGAAATAACCTATTATCAATGACCAATCAGCCATTCATATGCGACGTAGAACGCACATGCATCGGTCCACAAATCCCAGAGTAGTCAGTCAGTCACAACGTAGGATCTAGTACGTATGTACATGGGTTTAAGTTTCTATACCCCATGAGCACAGAGATTTGTCAAGTCAAATCCTAGAATAGTAGAAGTAGTAAGAGTACTAGTGGTAATCACACCACCTGTCAAGATAGATGGTGGTTGTGCATACTTAAGACATGTCCCATTCAATTCGGTTGATGAAGATTTACTACCTCATCAATTCATTTGCTATATTTACATAGTACTATATTCCCAACCCAGGTATTGCTTACCCGGTGGTCCCAAAATACATGACGAATGTTTCGAAAATACCTATGATTAACTACAAGTAACCTACGAATATTTTTTATTATTAATGACCAGGTTTAATACCCATAAAGTAGGACGGAGTCAACTATTGTATAATGAATTTGTCCATTGGTTGATAGACGAATATCTCGCCTACGCTACAAGTGACAAAAGTTGACAAAAGCCGATTGAGCCTTCAGAATACGTGCTGAAACTTTGTCAGACACCAAACCATCAGGACTGATGAGACTTCCAAAATAGGTGAAGTGGTCACTGAGTTCAACTACTTCACTCTATTATTAATTCGGGAAATGAATAGATAGTCGGAAGTTTGAACCACACTTCACCTACTTCACTTTCAGTAGCCATGAAGCGTCAGTAGCCGTCATACAAAAAAATTAACTCAAAGCCTGTATTAATTAAATGGATTGCGTCATGAGATCTCAAGATGGTGGGCAAGATTCGCAGCTCAAGTGGATGATTTTTATCGTCACGACCAAACCATCCAGCTCAGAGAACAAAACTCCATCAAAATCATGAGGTCTCTTTAGGAGAAGGGAGAATCCAAAACAACATAATTTCTATGTTTGGTATTTAACAAGACATAACTAGTCAAAGTGTTCAAGGACTTGATAGATTTACAACCCTTGAATTCATCTTATACAATCAATTACCTAGGCTGCCAAATGATTTTATACTTGAGCAACAAAAAATATTTCAAGTATAGGAAATTAGCCCCAGTTAAACAAAAAGGAGTAACAGCTGACACTCCGAAAGTATCATCAAGAATTCCTAGACATTGATTCTTATTTTTCCCATGGAATAACTTCAATATATATGAGTCCTCCGATAGTAATTTGCGTTTAAATGCCAATAAAATCTATACCATACATTTTACAAATTTCCAATTGGATTATTAAGAGCAAATCTTACAACCTTTTGGAAGATTCGATTGTCAAATCTTTATTTCAAATATCAACCTAAGTAACCAACCAACAATAGTTTCACGGTCATCTCTAACCACGTTTGATATAAGTAACGACATCCGTAACACCAATCCACGAACTGAAATTGTCTCAAAATGATAAACTACATTCCTGAGACCATCAGTGGTTTATCATGAACATTTAGTCGTTAGGTTTTAAAAAAATGCACAGATTTTTGTGAAAAATGCAACAAAAACATATGTTTCACTTACCAGCTAACACACATACTAACATTACGAGAAATAAACGAAAATAGAATGATGATTTTTCTGAAATCTTCTGGATTATGCTGAATTTGAAGAATTTGCTCCATCTAATTTTTTAAAAAAATGATAACTACCTAAACTTGGAATGTATATGAATCTTACGTTTGTGATGAGAAGAATGGAAGAATCATCAGCAAAACAACGAACATCTCGCTATACAAGAACGTTACAACTATATGCCACAACATTTTCAATACTTCTAAAAAAAGAGAAAGGTAGAGAAAAAGCGAAACATAATAATATTACATGGCAGTAAATGCAGTATACGAATTAAAAAAACATTAGGTAATTTCATAATGATTTCTTTATAAAATGTTCATTTGTATAACGTTTAAATGATATGTAACAAATAATAATGTTTACAGCGTATATAGACAAACAAACAAGACAAATATCTCTGAGAATAAAAAATAAAATGTAACACAAGTAAATTGAGCCCAGAACAGAAATGCAAGACAGTAGTATTGATAATTTCGTCATTATTCTTGATTTGACACAACCTATAAAATAAAACGCATCGAGTATGACGATGAGCTAGTTAAAACGAATTACTTAGCAAGAACATCAGAGTGTAGTAAAATAGACCATATACTGGATTTCTTTGGGTAAATATGGCGTTCCCGTAAGAATTTATCGGTAATCCAAGTCCTCGGCCGTATCAGAGTTTTAAAAAAAAAGGCATGCAAACATAGTCTTACTTTGATGTCAATACATTCGAACAACTCATATATTCGGAAATATCACAAAATGCACGGTACTCCTTATTTGATTCCTTTGAATGCTCCACATGTAATGCGTAAATACATATTAAGATGCCAACTATGCAGGAGAAAGACATCATTTTCGATGTTTTGGCAAACATTTTCTGAGCTTCTACATGAAAGCAGAAAGATAAACTGTTACCAGAATATCTGTGCAAGCATTTTTATTAAAACACTTGTTTGAAGTTGGCACTATTAGGCTTAGCTACAGCGTTTCAGGCTAGAGAAGAGAAATATCTTCAGGCCTGATGACCACAGACTAACCAGACGATGAATGTGGATCCTTACTAGTCATCGACTGAGAGGATTGATAGATCACTAACTCTGGAGAATAAACGAGGAAATTGGTCGTACTCTAGTAGAAGCACATGTTATAGTGGGCTTTAATGAATACAAAATACTTACAAGGGGAAAACTTCTAAGAGACCCATACACAGTATGTCGGAGAGGATAGTATTACAGAATGATCTTAGCTCATTGGTGGCATGGTTAGACAGGTGGTCACTAGAAGTAAATCCTAATAAGAGTATAGTGATGCAAATAAATATGATGAATCGTATCACTACACAATAGGTGGATTCGTGCTACCCAAAGTAAGAAACTATAAAGACTTAGGAGTCATATTAAGCAGTGATCTCAAAACCACTAGTCACTGTAAGGCTGCTGCTGCGAAAGGCTATAGGGTATTATGGTCTATTTGTAGGTCTTTCCAGTATCTAGATGATGAAATGTTTAGATTATTATACCCGATTTATGTGGGACCACATTTAGAATATGGGATTCAAACAGCGAGTCCTTGTTTCAAATATGAAGCAGATATACTGGAAAGAGTCCAACGACGAGGTACTAATATGGTACAAAGTCTATCTGACCTATCTTATGGAGACAGACTGAGACACCTCAACTTATTTCCGTTATCTTACCGTAGATTACGGGGTGACCTAATATCGGCTTTGCGCATACTGAACGATGACCATGGTGTTAATATGTCTTATCTTTTACTTCCGTCTAAGACTGGTCATTTGAGAGGACATTCGAAGAAAGTCCAAAAAACCGAGATCAAATCGTTTACGTCTGGAGTTTCGTTTCTCGCACCGAGTAGTGAGTTACTGGAATTCTCTACCGGGACACGTAACATCAGCACCTTCCGTTGATATATTCAAAACGAGATTGGACCTCTACAGTATTACAAACTGCAAGGATTTATATAGGTCAATAGACCTCCTATCCTTATTACTGAAGACTGAACTCAGCAAACGGATGGGAATATCAAGGGTGTTTGAGGAAGAGTCGGCTTAGCAGCTAGTTTACTACAAAGAGGCTTTCCGTTCCAAGTCAGGTCTACAGGACGTCTAGACTGCTACAAAAATTTTGATGACGTCTGTAAACAGCTTAGACAGAAATACTAAAGGCTAGTGGACCACTAAGTTATTAGTTGCTTGGCAACTCACCTTGGTGAACACCAAACAAATTCTACGTAATGGTCGTCAATAGTGAGTACACCAAGGACTAATAGAAAAGGTAGACGTGATAGTTATGACACCAAACAACCCAATATTTTACAAAAAGAGGGGTTTTAGGATTTGAATACCCAAACAATAATAGATACTAGCGAATTATATCTTAAACAACAAGAAACAAATATGGTGAGTCCTGCTGCTCTTTGCTTACAAACGTGCAACAGCGCTATTGGTCTGTCCAAATCGTCGAAGGACTTTTAAGTAGCGTTGGCATTTGAATGGTTCAAATGGTTCAAATGGTTGTGGACGCAATAGAAGAAGCTTTCGCTTAACAGGCTTCTGTTTCTAGTAGCAGGGGATCACCAAAACCTTTAGGCAGTGGCCTAGGTATATTAACAATAAAAGAGGAAAAAGAAATTGGTAAATCATAGTATGATACTATCCCTAATCCTTAAGAATAGATCAAGTTGTCTCTTAAAGGACTCCTGGGAAGTCGCTTGCACTAGCTCGACCGGCAGCGAATTCCAGCACTTGGCAACTCTTAAGGAGTAGAAGTTGTGTCTACAGTCCGTTCCGCTATGTTGTGTCTCAAGTTTCTGGGTGTTACCTCTTAGGTTAGTGTTGAAACTAAGCTCAAGTAGGTGTTTAAGAGGATTCCAGAAGTGTTAAGAATACTATAAGCCATTAATAAATCGCCTCTAAGACGCCTATACTCTAATGGGTAAAGGTTAAGTGATTAGAGGCGCTCTTCATTAGGTTGAAATTTGAGTCCTCGAACTGATTTCGTGGCTCGCCGTTGGATACGCTCCATATGTCCTTATACTTTTGGAGTGAGGGAGGACATACTATGCTTCCGTACTCTAAATGGGGACGGATAAAACTATTGAAGATTATATGGAAAGTTATTCCGTCAAACTGGCCAAAAATGCGCTTCAATTTTACCAGTGCAAGGTTTGCTCGGAAGGCATTTTTGTCACAGTTAGCGTAAGACTTTAAATCATGGGGCACCAGGACTCCTAAATCTTTTTCGACTTGAGATACTACTAGAGAGGAGTTTCCTAAGTTGTAACTGTAGTCTGCGACATGTCGCAAATGGAATACTTTACACTTTGAAGTGTTAAAGGTAAGTCCGTTATCGTCTGCCCAACTCTGAAGTCCAGTCTGATCCTCCTGAAGTGCCTGTATATCGTCTTGGTTGCGTATCTCTCTCCAAAGTTTCAGGTCGTTGGCAAAAACTAATAAGTCTGACGTTACCTGTTGAGGAAGATCATTTATGTGAGTCAATAAGAGAAGAGGTCCTAGTACTGAGCCCTGAGGGACCCCACTAGGACATTCCATGTCGATTTTTAAGGTATGAAGTGAGCCAATCGATTAGAGGTGGTCTGATACTCAATCGCTTGAGCTTGTTGATAAGCTTTTTGGAAATCTCTGTAGATGGTATCAAACTTCCCCTTGTGATCGAGGATGCTTGCCCATCTGTCCACCGCAGTCAGCAGGTTGTTTATACAAGAGTAACCCTTCTTGAAACCATGTTGTTGGGGTGAGAATAAATCTAATAACAGTAAATAGTCATTTATACCATTGCATATCGGGGACTCCATGATTTTTGAATGTGTTGAGAGAAGAGCCACCGGTCGGTAACTTGAAGTTTCGCTGCGTCGACCACCTTTGAAAATTGGTGTGATGTGAGCTAGCTTCCATTTTTTCGGTAGTTTTCCTCGGCTTAGCGAGTGTGAGAACATTACGATAAGCGGCGTTGCCAGGATTGAAGCTGCCTCCACCAGTATGGCAGAATGGTCCATATCCGGGCCAGGAGAAGTGTCTATTCTTAAGTGCTGCGGTTTCCGGAACACCAAGTCAGCGCTCAGGTTCACTTCGGAAAGTCCTTTGGAGTTGCAGATGAAGCTTTCATCAGTATAGTTGATTTGGGTCGGTTGGAATGTCCGAGAGCATTGTTCAGCCAAAAGGTTATCGGCGTCACCGTCGTTATTGGTCTGGCCGTTTGGACCTAGCAGTTGGGAAACTCTTGTTTTGGCTTGACGAAGACAGGCTGCATAACGGAATAAGTTTTTCGGATTAGAGACAAATTTGTCCATAAGCTTTGTCTGGTACTGAAGCCTGTCTTCTCTTATAGCCTTCGTGCATATGTTCCTTATATGTTTGTATTGCCTATACACTCCACTGTTGTCAGTTCGTTTGTACTCTGCTCAACAGTGCATTTTGCGGCTTAGTGGGCGAAGAGTGCTGTTCTTGATGATTGTAGGTTGCTTGTAGCTTCTGGGGACCGTTTGAGGAACTGAATGCTTTGTAGCACATAAAAGCGTGTGAAGTACCAAGTTCCAATGAGTATTCACATCAAGTTGAGGGTGAACATCCCAAACCACCTGTTGTAGATAGTCATGTAGAGCTGGCACATTCAGCCGTTTAAAATTCCAACGCGAATTATTGGTGGGATACCTTAGCTTAGTTTTGCTGACAAAACTGAAGGCTATGACAGCATGATCGCTCTTTCCCAGAGGAGCCAGGATTGAGAGGCTGTCAACTAGGAATTCTTCGTTTGTGAATATACAGTCTAGGCGCGATTGTGTCTGACTGTTTCTCCAACGATTTGCTGACCTCACATTTTCGTATAAGCCCAAGTCATCGATGAGGTTGAAGAACCGAGCTTCAGTTGGGTTTTCACCTCCAGTGTACGTGTGTTCCGCGAAGTTGACTCTAGGGAGATTAAAGTCCCCTAGATTCAGGATGTGTGTGAAACCGAGACGGGTAGAGCGGGATAGTCCCTCCAGCATACGACTATCGTACTCGATGTCGGCAGTTGGCTTCCTGTAAATGACTCCGACTAGACACCTCGAAGTACTTGACAATCTAACAGAGCACCATATGGATTCCTCAAGACTGTTAAACTCGAGGTTATGAACTTGGTGCACCTCCAAGCAAGAACTTATGTATATGGCTACTCCGCCCCCAATTCCTGTTTTTCTGTCGTTGCGGAACAAAGTCATCCCAGGTAATGCTAACTCCTGGTTCGAGAACTGAGAAGATATCCAGGTTTCAGCTATTCATATCAGATGAGCCTTATTAGTATTGTTAAGTTCACGTAGCTCATCCATTTTGTTTGGTAGTCTCGCGGCGTTCATCTATAAGCAGTTTATGCTTTCAATTTGAAACGCGTCAGCTTCTTCCTGTTTGTCTGTATGAGCCTTACGTGAATGGACAAGTAGCCTACCTATATAAGGTTTGCCGAGTTGGTAGGCCCTGTCCTTTACACGTTTTTTATCATTGAGACAGTCGACAAGTAGAATGGTCAGCTCCAACTTGCCTTTGGGCTTGGTCCTAGCTTCAGATGGCCTATCCGGGTGCATGTGGATTCCAGGTGGCAACCGACGTCTGTTGGCACGAAATGCCTCTAGAGTCGCAGCTGCCATATGGGAGGATAGGACATTTATCTTCATTAGCCGGGGTCTGGAGTCAGAGTCCTTCTTGGCTAGTCTCATCACATGTTGAGTCAGTACGTTTTTGAGCCTCAAGGACTATTTGATGAATTTCCATTACCTAATATCAGAGTTTGCTAGATTAGGGTCCGCGTTTTCAGGTACTTCTCGCACAATTGTTTTTCTTCCGCGGAAAAACTCCCTAGATTCTTTAGTGATATTCCGGATGAGATCGCGCTCAGAATACGGTATGTCGGGCAGTATTCTTACATTCCCATCTGATTTTAGTAAATGACTCGCTAGCAAGATATCCTCTACGTCGGTAGCATTCCTAAGTGTTACACGAAGTAGCCTCGGGTGATTTTGATGCTTAGATTTCTTTCCCCGAGTGAACCGTGTGACCGTCTAAGGCTCTATCCTAGGAAGTTCAAGTTCCTTGTGCAATTCACACCAGAGCATCCTGTCATTTTTGTCCTGCAAACTGAAAGGAAAGTCAGGGTTGTCTTTGAGGTTCATGATTATGAGAGAGTCATCACGAACCATTATTGTTTTCCCAGGTTTTCCGGTGCGTTCATTTTCAGCACCTTTTTGTTTGGAGGTCGAAGCACGTTTATGAATCCTAGGCTCTTTGATGACCGGACGGACATTCTTGGGGACATTCTTTGTCAATATCAGAGATAGTAATAAAGAGAGAAGGTTGGTTGACCTGTCAACTCTTGCGGTTCTTTCCTATAGAAGACTCACTTTCTCTTGAAAAGCGTTTAAGTAGTAGTAGTAGAACTTATCCAGCTCTAGTCAGTGCTTACTCTATGGATGTGGCAGGATTTCAACTCAAATCTATTAAATTAATGCTTTCGAGCATCTTCACCATAATCTCTGAGACAGTAAGCCTGAGAAGAAACAAAATGATGGGACGTGCCATCACCGAAGTTGGTATTCAAGACGGAAAATTCTAGTATGAGGTACCTTATTCTATGGAAAGATGGGAAATATAACTAAAGGCATCCCTAAACAAGAGTTTAATAAACCATATTACCAATTTAGTAGCTACTCTCCTGAAAAACTCAAGAGATTCTGTATTTGATATTACACATGAACTATCCACTCAGATAGTTCTTTGTATTAAGCCTTATGTAGGTGGCACATAGAATCTAGAACATGTAGCGGTAAATAAATCCCCAAAATCAATAGCTCCGCAAGTATTTGACATTTGATGCTGACCGCAATAAATCCAACGGACTCACCTAGCTTAGGGACCACGGTCATGCATTCGCACCGGATCACGAGTGACTACCCCATACCTCAAATCTCCAATGACCTCTAACCAGCCTAGATTTATCACTTCTCGATATATAGATATTCTATATATACCTCTTCACTTCTGACTTTTGATTTGACTGGATTGCCACATTCTGATTATAAAAGGTATTGCTGATTAGGGTGTTTTCAAACTCTGAATACTTGTGGCATCTTTAAACATTCCATCAGATGGTCTGAAGTCTCTGAGAACTGATCAACACGAATCTTGGGGATTAGATGAATCACGTCGTTCAACTATTTTTTAAGTCATGGTTCACGAACAAAACTAGATTCTCTAGTTCTAAAACTCGTGCTGTGTCCGTTCATAAATATACTGGTGGCTAACGTTGTGTTCGATTTGCTCCAATGCACTTTTGATACAATATATTTCTGACACAGTATCTACATGCCATTTTTACATTCATTATCAGTAACGCACAACAATGTTTTACATATATAGAGTCGGCACAGCAGAGTTATAGAAATGATCACATCAGTAAATTAAGAAACTTTTACGATGTAATGATAATGGAGACATATATGTCAGGTTTCGCATAGCTGTGAGTACCAGAATTGTCAATAGGTTTACTGTTGTTATGACTCTTGTCACAAACTATGATCTTAATAAAAACTTTGAAAATATGACCTCGGTCAAGGTAGAGGCTTTATAGTTTCATGTTACTAACGTGATGTTGAAAAAAAAAGGGTAAAAGAGAAGCACGGCCAATGAATATAAATCCCTAACGCCGCGTAAATGTGTGCAGTAGGACAGGAAAATGCATGACACAGGTTTCCTAGATATGTATAGCCCATGACATACCATTGCCAAGCGATATGTAACTACTTTTAGGAGACTCGGCAAGAACATTATAAGGCATAATGTTAAGTATATATCACAATACGTTTAGAGGGCCTAAAATAAAAATACTATTAAACAAACGGTGATCATTTCAAGCTGTACATCAATATTTAAAATGTCTCACAAATACAGGCTGTAGGATATACTTGTAAACAGTTTAGACAAAACGAAATGGAAACTATAATCCGAATTAATGTCTTGAAACAATCATACCTGAAACGCTCCATGAGCAGGACTTCCCGTTTAACGTACTAATTTATAGACAAATGGATAGAACTGCAATGGGCTCACCATTGTCTTCCGTATTAGCTGGTGTTTTTCCAGTCAGACTTGGAAATGGCCCGATTAAGTATTTCATTGAGAAATTCGCACATGACTGTCGGTCCATAGATGACACGTTGATCCTATGTAAAGGTATTTTGTTACAACTAGAAATCCTTATGTATTTTAATGAAGTCTACACCTGAAGAAAGTGAAGGTAGAATAAACGTTTTGTGTGTTTTGTTAACAAAAGGTGCTTAAATAGGAAAAGCACAGGGATAGGACAGCATGTATATATACCTATCCCTGTACCACTAGTGCCCAAAAACATCTGAAGAAAACTCTTAGTTATCGAGTACATACCTAATGTCCTACTGATATAGCTTGAAGAATAATCAAACGCATTGCGCAATATTTTTAAGGAAAAGATACAACCCGGTTTATAAGCATATATATTTTAACATTAAACAAATCCCCAAAATGATTGATTCTGTAAGTCTTGAACATTCGATGCTGAACACATTAGTTTTACGCGGCACATCTAGTTGAAGGCGCCCGGTCACACATCAACACCAGATCATGAGTAGATACATCGTACTACTCATCTACTACAAACATTAGCTAGATCAGACCAAACGCTTCATGAGATATCGACAGCTTTTCAAATGTAACTCGAAACCTCTTCACTTCTGACTTCTGATTTGACCAGGTTGGCATACTTAGATCATAAAGGTGTTATTAGTAAAGGCGTTGTCAAACTCCGAATACATCTTTAAAGTGATCACAAAGGTTAGAATAGACGACATACAGATAGTGAATAAGAAATCCCATTCATGCACTACAATTAAGAGATGATGCAACAAGTGAATTTTTAACCCAGAGATTAAGTATAACAATTCGAGGAACATTGTGCACATGTAAACCATGCTTCTAATAGTGAAAACGAAGCCAAAAGGCGAACTATCTGGAATGACCACTGTAGAATCCAAACTACGGTTTGGATGTTGAAGAATAGCCGATAGAGGATGTTAGATACGCGCCCTTCCCGTCGAAATCAGAACAAGTAATCGGGTAACTAGCGGTTCTATAATTCATAATAAATTTAATGTAAATCATTACCTAAACAAATATTATCACCCGGCTATTCAACCAATGATTGTTCAATCAATTAAATCTAAATTACAATAATAAAGAAGTTGATAGAAGATGAGGAAAAATTACCAATCACAACAAATCAACGTTATTCTATCCTGGCTGGATAGATCATACACAACAGGAGGAACAAATCAATATGGCTACCGCCAAGAATAAGTGTCAAGTAAAACAACACAGATGCAGTTCAGGAAGAAACACAAACTTAGTGCATGCGTAAGAAAAACAAAACTATAATAAAAAATACAAGTATTAACAACTCAAATGTAATCAAAATACAACAATGTACAACTAAGGGAATCAATAGGAACAAAGTACAAGTATATACATGGAGGGATTTTCACCAACACATAAAACGTTCAAAATGGATCTTACACCGGCCCCCAAAATCCCTCCATACCACACAAGCTACCTTGATGCCTACGATCATGGTTCATTATATAACATATCACACTATAGGAACGAGTAGGACTTACAACAGTACGCCTACTCGACCTACCTACATTAATAACAACAAAGACTAATCCGAAGCTTCAAAGAGACCTGTTTCACTTGCTCTCTGGTGTCCAACAATAACACTCGTGGTATAGACTTAGTCACTCTTCCCCAAACTCCACCCATGCTGTTGGATGAGGGCCTCGCTGACAATTCACTATTTATCTTCTGCTGATTCGACGGTTGCACAAACTTCCTTAACTCAGAAACTGCCCACACGAAGCTTGACGCACTGTCACTGTAAATCTCCGGAGGTTTCCTTCTTCTTCCAATACAACGTAATAAGGCCATTATAAATGAATCAGTAATCAAACTACACATCATTTCAATATGTACTGCCCATGTTTGCAAACAAGAAAACACATATCCATACCCCTTTTCTAATGATCTTCCTATGTGTCCTTGTTCTTTAGGACAATGTCTAATAATCATTTCCGTCACTAAGTGTCGACTGGGTAAAATTACTGGATGTTTAAAAGCATTTGGGGAATCTGAGTATCTTAGTCGACCTCCAACGCAGAGTAACCCATCAAGCATCATCACCGATAAACCTTTCAGATCATCATGACTTACTACTTCACTGCTGTTCTTAAATTCACTTATATGCTTAACGCAACTCTTTGCTTGATCACAACTGGGAATAGATATCAAGCAATCATCGACATAGAAATTATTCTTGACAGTATCTACGACATAACTATCATAATCGTCAGAGAATATTTGGGCCGTTTTATTCAAAGCAAAGTTCGCACGAAACGGCGATGATGTGACACCAAATGCATGAGTTGTCATATGAAACTCAGACGGTTCTCTCGACATGTCCCCCTCCTGCCACCACAGAAATCTTGAAGCTCCTCGATCAGACTCAGGAACATTCACTTGCATGAGCATTTCTTCAACATCTGCAGGGATTGCAACTGCCTCCTTGCGAAAACCTAATAATATACACATTAACTCAGCGGTGGTATTGGGTTCTTGATAAATCATATCATTCCGGGGAACCTCTGCAAACTGGGCGACACAATCAATGACCACTCTAAAATCTGGTTTTTTCATGTTTAATACTGCACGATGAGGTAAATACCATCGAGGGCGATAATAAGACTGCAGATATATTTCAAAGACCCTCTCCGCATAAGTCTTAGTAATATCACTTTCAGTACTTTTGATATACTTGATGTGCAGACTGACATCCTTCGACAACATACCCTTCAAACTTTGTAATCTACGGTTTGCTACTTCATAATTATCCACTCTCATATCTGGATTCTTTTTCCAAAATATAGAAACTACAAAATGACCGTTGCCGAAGCGCGTGCCACCTTCCACAATCTTTATAGCCACCTTGTCGTCTACTGATAATGATTTATCACTTGAATAAGCATCTGAAAACTCTACGTCATAAGGCTTACGTTTTTCGTTCTCTAATGCCTGCATCTTACTGGTATGATTAACAACTCTTTTCCTATATTCCGGGCATGATGGCTTATCATTTATGACGTTGCTTGTCGAGTCAGTGTGCAGCAGCGGATGATGTCTCCTCTCGCAACTGTCGACCTTACAGAGCCTTGTTATCTTACATTCATTAACTTTATGCCCTAGCCTAAGGCAGACAAAACAGATGCCATTAACCTTCGCGTGAGACCATCTCTCTTGAACGGTAAGCGCTAAAAAATTTGGACATTTATAAATAGCATGGTCCAGGGAACACATACTGCATTTAGCTCTCCCTTTCGAATTATTCTCCTGCTCCAATTGCCAGTGACAATTTGTCTTCAAGTTGTGTCCCTTTCTCGGACTTTTCGCTAACCGTCCAAACCTACTATTAGCTATCCTCGCGCGGGATGCTATAAATTGAGTAAGCTCGTCAAAGGTTGGTTCTCTATTATCTTCAGTCAATTCATCCACCCAGTCCGCCCACTGGGCTTGCATAACTTGAGGTAAGAGTCCTACTATTCTCTCTAAGGTAAATAGAGAATTTAAGTCGGCAGTATACTTCATCTGTTTCAAAACCATAGAACAATTTTCCATCCTAATAGCCAGATTTGTTAGTTGCTCAGGATCACTGTAATCAACATTTGTAGTTTTGAATAAGTCCTCTAAAGTCTCCCGAGCGATTACATGCGCCTGCCCGAACAAACGTTTTAGAATTTCCCTTGCTCTTTTATAACCAGACGATGCTTCCATCATGACACAACCCTCAATAGCTCTTTTCGCCTTGCCCTTACAATAGTGCATCAAATAGAGCAAACGTTGGCTATCATCAGTGACTCTTGACGCTACATAGGTCTCAAATTGCCTTATAAATATCCAGTATCCTCTTGGTTGTCCATCGAAATAACTCAATTCAACCTTTGGTAGTTCTAGACCAACAACATGCGCTATAGGCAAAACGCTTTTTCCTGATAATTCAAGCTTTTGCTTCTCCGTTAAACTAAGATTTTTTACGCCATCTGTCATCGAATTAAGACTAGGGTCACTACCATGATAATCAACCCTATTCGAGTCTGAACCATGACACTTAAGGACATCAAAAGGCACTTGCTTGGTAATAGGGGATTCTTCATTAACATCACCAAACTTTGAGCTTGATTTCTTTCGACAATTAGTTGGCATTATAAACGAAACGACCAAATACTTCCAGAAACGATAATCAAAATCCGCGAACGATTGCCCAACGAATTCGACCAATTAATAATTTGTTTAGAACTGTAGAATCCAAACTACGGTTTGGATGTTGAAGAATAGCCGATAGAGGATGTTAGATACGCGCCCTTCCCGTCGAAATCAGAACAAGTAATCGGGTAACTAGCGGTTCTATAATTCATAATAAATTTAATGTAAATCATTACCTAAACAAATATTATCACCCGGCTATTCAACCAATGATTGTTCAATCAATTAAATCTAAATTACAATAATAAAGAAGTTGATAGAAGATGAGGAAAAATTACCAATCACAACAAATCAACGTTATTCTATCCTGGCTGGATAGATCATACACAACAGGAGGAACAAATCAATATGGCTACCGCCAAGAATAAGTGTCAAGTAAAACAACACAGATGCAGTTCAGGAAGAAACACAAACTTAGTGCATGCGTAAGAAAAACAAAACTATAATAAAAAATACAAGTATTAACAACTCAAATGTAATCAAAATACAACAATGTACAACTAAGGGAATCAATAGGAACAAAGTACAAGTATATACATGGAGGGATTTTCACCAACACATAAAACGTTCAAAATGGATCTTACACCGGCCCCCAAAATCCCTCCATACCACACAAGCTACCTTGATGCCTACGATCATGGTTCATTATATAACATATCACACTATAGGAACGAGTAGGACTTACAACAGTACGCCTACTCGACCTACCTACATTAATAACAACAAAGACTAATCCGAAGCTTCAAAGAGACCTGTTTCACTTGCTCTCTGGTGTCCAACAATAACACTCGTGGTATAGACTTAGTCACTCTTCCCCAAACTCCACCCATGCTGTTGGATGAGGGCCTCGCTGACAATTCACTATTTATCTTCTGCTGATTCGACGGTTGCACAAACTTCCTTAACTCAGAAACTGCCCACACGAAGCTTGACGCACTGTCACTGTAAATCTCCGGAGGTTTCCTTCTTCTTCCAATACAACGTAATAAGGCCATTATAAATGAATCAGTAATCAAACTACACATCATTTCAATATGTACTGCCCATGTTTGCAAACAAGAAAACACATATCCATACCCCTTTTCTAATGATCTTCCTATGTGTCCTTGTTCTTTAGGACAATGTCTAATAATCATTTCCGTCACTAAGTGTCGACTGGGTAAAATTACTGGATGTTTAAAAGCATTTGGGGAATCTGAGTATCTTAGTCGACCTCCAACGCAGAGTAACCCATCAAGCATCATCACCGATAAACCTTTCAGATCATCATGACTTACTACTTCACTGCTGTTCTTAAATTCACTTATATGCTTAACGCAACTCTTTGCTTGATCACAACTGGGAATAGATATCAAGCAATCATCGACATAGAAATTATTCTTGACAGTATCTACGACATAACTATCATAATCGTCAGAGAATATTTGGGCCGTTTTATTCAAAGCAAAGTTCGCACGAAACGGCGATGATGTGACACCAAATGCATGAGTTGTCATATGAAACTCAGACGGTTCTCTCGACATGTCCCCCTCCTGCCACCACAGAAATCTTGAAGCTCCTCGATCAGACTCAGGAACATTCACTTGCATGAGCATTTCTTCAACATCTGCAGGGATTGCAACTGCCTCCTTGCGAAAACCTAATAATATACACATTAACTCAGCGGTGGTATTGGGTTCTTGATAAATCATATCATTCCGGGGAACCTCTGCAAACTGGGCGACACAATCAATGACCACTCTAAAATCTGGTTTTTTCATGTTTAATACTGCACGATGAGGTAAATACCATCGAGGGCGATAATAAGACTGCAGATATATTTCAAAGACCCTCTCCGCATAAGTCTTAGTAATATCACTTTCAGTACTTTTGATATACTTGATGTGCAGACTGACATCCTTCGACAACATACCCTTCAAACTTTGTAATCTACGGTTTGCTACTTCATAATTATCCACTCTCATATCTGGATTCTTTTTCCAAAATATAGAAACTACAAAATGACCGTTGCCGAAGCGCGTGCCACCTTCCACAATCTTTATAGCCACCTTGTCGTCTACTGATAATGATTTATCACTTGAATAAGCATCTGAAAACTCTACGTCATAAGGCTTACGTTTTTCGTTCTCTAATGCCTGCATCTTACTGGTATGATTAACAACTCTTTTCCTATATTCCGGGCATGATGGCTTATCATTTATGACGTTGCTTGTCGAGTCAGTGTGCAGCAGCGGATGATGTCTCCTCTCGCAACTGTCGACCTTACAGAGCCTTGTTATCTTACATTCATTAACTTTATGCCCTAGCCTAAGGCAGACAAAACAGATGCCATTAACCTTCGCGTGAGACCATCTCTCTTGAACGGTAAGCGCTAAAAAATTTGGACATTTATAAATAGCATGGTCCAGGGAACACATACTGCATTTAGCTCTCCCTTTCGAATTATTCTCCTGCTCCAATTGCCAGTGACAATTTGTCTTCAAGTTGTGTCCCTTTCTCGGACTTTTCGCTAACCGTCCAAACCTACTATTAGCTATCCTCGCGCGGGATGCTATAAATTGAGTAAGCTCGTCAAAGGTTGGTTCTCTATTATCTTCAGTCAATTCATCCACCCAGTCCGCCCACTGGGCTTGCATAACTTGAGGTAAGAGTCCTACTATTCTCTCTAAGGTAAATAGAGAATTTAAGTCGGCAGTATACTTCATCTGTTTCAAAACCATAGAACAATTTTCCATCCTAATAGCCAGATTTGTTAGTTGCTCAGGATCACTGTAATCAACATTTGTAGTTTTGAATAAGTCCTCTAAAGTCTCCCGAGCGATTACATGCGCCTGCCCGAACAAACGTTTTAGAATTTCCCTTGCTCTTTTATAACCAGACGATGCTTCCATCATGACACAACCCTCAATAGCTCTTTTCGCCTTGCCCTTACAATAGTGCATCAAATAGAGCAAACGTTGGCTATCATCAGTGACTCTTGACGCTACATAGGTCTCAAATTGCCTTATAAATATCCAGTATCCTCTTGGTTGTCCATCGAAATAACTCAATTCAACCTTTGGTAGTTCTAGACCAACAACATGCGCTATAGGCAAAACGCTTTTTCCTGATAATTCAAGCTTTTGCTTCTCCGTTAAACTAAGATTTTTTACGCCATCTGTCATCGAATTAAGACTAGGGTCACTACCATGATAATCAACCCTATTCGAGTCTGAACCATGACACTTAAGGACATCAAAAGGCACTTGCTTGGTAATAGGGGATTCTTCATTAACATCACCAAACTTTGAGCTTGATTTCTTTCGACAATTAGTTGGCATTATAAACGAAACGACCAAATACTTCCAGAAACGATAATCAAAATCCGCGAACGATTGCCCAACGAATTCGACCAATTAATAATTTGTTTAGAACTGTAGAATCCAAACTACGGTTTGGATGTTGAAGAATAGCCGATAGAGGATGTTAGATACGCGCCCTTCCCGTCGAAATCAGAACAAGTAATCGGGTAACTAGCGGTTCTATAATTCATAATAAATTTAATGTAAATCATTACCTAAACAAATATTATCACCCGGCTATTCAACCAATGATTGTTCAATCAATTAAATCTAAATTACAATAATAAAGAAGTTGATAGAAGATGAGGAAAAATTACCAATCACAACAAATCAACGTTATTCTATCCTGGCTGGATAGATCATACACAACAGGAGGAACAAATCAATATGGCTACCGCCAAGAATAAGTGTCAAGTAAAACAACACAGATGCAGTTCAGGAAGAAACACAAACTTAGTGCATGCGTAAGAAAAACAAAACTATAATAAAAAATACAAGTATTAACAACTCAAATGTAATCAAAATACAACAATGTACAACTAAGGGAATCAATAGGAACAAAGTACAAGTATATACATGGAGGGATTTTCACCAACACATAAAACGTTCAAAATGGATCTTACAACCACTTCTTTCTACATTTATTAATTTGATTGCTCTTTTGGAGTAAGTTTTATCGGTTGAAGCTCTGGGATTTTGCATTTTGTGTTCGTTGACACCTCTCAACGTGGTCAAGCAAAAGTGTAATGAAAACAGAGAAGAGATCAATGCGGGCACATATACTCCAAATTGGTCACAGTGCCAGTATAAGTCAACCTTTCTCAACAATTTATCGGGTTAGTAGAAATCGGTCCTACTCAAAGTCCTTTAAAGGGCAGAATCAATAGCCATTTGGATTAAAAGTCCGGGGCTATGTTTGCAAAAGAAACATATCCATTCCCTTATCTTGCTTTAGATGACTTCAGAGTCAATCAATCAATAGTAATCTTAACTAATGAATCACCTAATTTGACTAATATATGTAAAATGTTTCTCAGTGAGATACAGTTGTCTTTGTTTTTATTTACATGTATGTGTATTATTATTACTTTGGCACCACAAAAACCCCGTAAACACATTTGCCCCACTATTTCGTTTACAAAATCCATATAACTCCATACATAATAATTTTCTAGTTTACAAGTCTTATTACCTTTACCTGTAGTTGTTGAGGCGAGATGAGGTAGTATAGATAATAATGTGACCACGTAAGATCTTATAGATTAGGCAGTTACATCATGACAGATCTACAATTTTAGTATTAGAGCAGTACTAATATCGTAATTCGGTTAATCCATGATAAGTCAGTCAAAAACATCAACCTTAGCGTATTATTTCGTGTCTCTTGGTAGTATCGGAGGTACCATTGACGGCGTAGGACGCAGTCATATGTTCCCCATATGTTTTCCGTTGCATATCATAAGAGTGCTGAAAGAGTGGATGGTAGAGGGAGGATCGAGAATCAGATGTGACACATTAAGATCTTCAACATATGGAAAACTATCACTACTTCACAGCGCATAAAAATGTAGTGCGACGAAAAGTCACCCCCAAGACAACGTTGACCCTTGAATATTGCTCATGTAGTTCGTGGGTCATGCCCGTACTTAAACCTACAGCTTTCCAACTCCGATATACCCAAATAAAATTGTGAGTGAGTTCTAACGAGTGAAATCATATCTCGCCCCCTTTAGACGATAAACGTATGTTTAAGCAGTGTTTCTGGTGAAACGATTTTAGTTGGTTTTAATCCATTCACCAAGTATCTCAACTAGAGTGCTTTATTTTTAAGGCTAAGAATGTTCTTATGACATACACTTTGACTGTGTTGAGAATTGCCTCGTTTTACCTATATGGATTTAAAACCTGTTTGCTTCCAAGACCACAATATCCGGAAACCATAGATTTCAAATTTTTATTAACGTTTTAGTGCTCATTTATAAAAAAGGCTCACTAACAATTATTTCATTTTTGCGTGGTCAATCTCACCTGGAACGGATACTTCAGCTACGTATATTGTATGGATTTTGTAATACGGAGTCTCGTTTCTTAGAGTACTAACGTTAAAACTTTACCACGGTGGGTTGCAACATTTAGCCTACTGCCCATGAATAAAATAGACAAACGACCAGGGCACTCTGACCAAAAATGTTCTGGGGCTCCCGTTTCAGTCTCTTCCAAATGCTATTCGTTCTATATATGTCTGCCTCCAGGTCACGCCCTCATGTGTTCGTTGGTCTGCCTCTTTTCATTTCGTATCCACGAGTACAGATAAGCTCAGACTGATGATGACCATCATGTAACCAGTGGTAGCCTCACGACGGCATGACAGTTATCTTGTTGATTATGAGATGGATTTCCTGGTTTATGATACCTCTCTTGGTAGCCAACGAACCCTAAATATAAAATACTAGATTCTACTGAAGAGACTCATTGACGAATAGCTTTTAAAACTATCTCCTTAAGCATTAACAGAATTTATAGACATCCTATCTACCTTTAGATAGTCAGATGAAGTTGCCATAAATATCCTCTTTAGAAATATGTTTTCTCTGTTCCATCCCTACTTTAGGGAGTTTGAGTCCAGTGCTTCATGTATTGGCACGGCAATCTAACCGGTGAACATAGCAAACGTAGTAGCATCTAACTACGTGAATGTTCGTCTTAAAACCCATATGGTTCTAAACCCCATGGCTGAAATCTCACGGCGATAGGCCGTGGTCTTAAGACCATGGCTCACTGTTACCCCAAGATCGTTGTGAGACCGAACCACGGGTACAGGCACTTTCCCAAGGTTGTACCTATTTACTTTTGTATCATCAAAGCGCATGTAGACACACTTGGCCGCGTTGATCTGCATCATACACTTTTTAGACCAGCTAATCCTAATATTTAAGTCTGCCTGAAGTGCGTATGCATATGAGTCTCCTATTATTTTTCGCCAGATTTTTTATATCATCAGAGTATAGTTACACTGGGGACTCAACAGTACTTGGGATGTAGTAGCTCATATGCAATTAAGTTTGCTTACATTTAATTCCGTTAAGTCATTTTGTTAACTTATTTAACGGACTGGGTCATCCGCACACTAACAACTTATCTATATCATTGCACCTCTATTATTGTCTCGAATGTATGAACATGTATGCTTGAGCATTGTTTACTGCATAAGCATATGTTTGTTCTGCTAGCTTTACTATTAGTCGCTTAATTGGTCCGACGATTCATTCATTTCCTTATATATACATGCATCTTTAATCCTATTGATTCTACTCGCTGAATCACTCATTCTCTTCACTGCTTTGTGGTCTGAGCTATCTGCTAATAAACTGTAGTTGCTGCTTCTCCTTGCCTTCTGATTTCAAACACCGTTGAGGTTTAGATAAAAACGGTTACGAGGGTGATTGGTTAACGAAGCACAGCACTACAGGAAGATCAGTTACATACAGTATATGAAGTAAAGGACTTAGGACAGAACCTTAAGGTACACCTCCAAGTGCTGGTCTCCAGGTAGAGCACTTCAAATTTTGTATCATTCTATGTCTACGACCTACTAGAAAATCCTTTATCCATTTTAGGAGAGATCCGGAAATTCTAAGAATTTCCAGCTTCAACAACAGTTTATTTGTTGGTACCTTACCAAATGCTTTGCTGAAGTCTATGAAGGCAACATCCACTGATTTTCTATTGTTTAGAGCCTCTATCCATTGCTCCCTAGCCATAAGGAGATTAATTTTGCATGATGAAACTTTTCTAAAATCATGCCGTTTGCTGTCTAACAAGTTGTTGATTTCCACGAATGTCATTATGGTCTTTTTGTGTGTTCTTTCCAGTATTTTAAATATGACAGTGGTGAGGCTGACAGTTCTGTAGCTTGATGGAAGTTGTCTTGGTCCTGTTATATGCATTGTAGTGACGAATGCATCCTTCCAGTCCGTAGCTAACTCACTTTGGTCAAGTGACATTGAATATCACAGTCAGTGTAGCTGAAATATACTGTGCTATTTGTCTTGGGGTTTCTGGGTGGATTTCATCTGGTCCTGTTGACTTTTCTGTGTCTGAAGTGCTAAGAGCCTTAAGTACATAGTCTCGATGAAAGCTCACGGTTAGCAGAAGGGTTGTTGACTTCGTATTTGGGTATAGTTCTTTGTCTAGAAGAGGCTCTTGAGTGAAAACTGCCCCGAACTAGTTTGCCATAGCCTCTGCTTCTTCCTGATCGTCCTCTACCATTTCAGATCCACTTCATTCCGTAATTAGGTTGGGAATCCAATGCTGCATCCTTGTTCTGTAATTTAAGTACGAGGATAGTCTTTTATGTTGCCTGATTGCAGATTGTGCCAACTGCATTTCATATTTTCTCTGAGCATCCCGGATTTCAATTATACATTTGTTTTTTACCGACCTGTAACGTTTCATAGTACTTGCAACGTCAATGCTGATGGAAACGTTCCAACATTACTTCTTTTGTCTTAGTAAACATCAAGTGTCCCGGTCTATCCAGGGATGGCCGTGCTTCTTTTTGGGACAGTCCAGAGCATATATGGTTGAGTTACCTGATTGTCTAAATGCCTGAGATGAGTTCATGGCACTTCTAATGATGCCCCTGAGTAAATTACGCAATTTTCAGCAGACGATGAAGAGTTCAGTTCTTCCATGCTTGCCTTACATATATTAGGACGGTCCGGAGCAACTTTTTGACAGGCCATCTAAGCCATGAATTTGAATAAGATGACTGCATGATCGCTTCTCCTTAGAGGTGAGAGAAATGTCATTTGACCGTCACCACTGCGTGTGAATACGAAGTTCAAGAGAGAAGAAGAGCTTGGTGAGTCATATATAGTGGGAACTATAATTTATTGGAATGGTGCAACTGTGGTTTGTAACAGTTTGCAATTAAATGACGTAGTCAATACCGCTACTTCTAAGTTTTCCCAGTTTGTATACGGTCATTAAAGTCGCCTACTATAAGGCTTTTATCCCTAGTACACCAGGACTTAAGTTTGCTTAGGAAGAAGTCATCTATTACACATTCTGTACTGCGATATACTACGAGTAATTCAATATCTTGCCGTCTACATTCTAGCTTGCAACGGATCAGTTCATGTGTCCCTAGACCATGTGCCACTGTCTCAACAGCTCGAATGGTTGAGGTAATATCTGTGTACAGGATGCACATCTCCCTATTTATGTTTCATTGTTATATTTACTGCCCACAATAACATGATAATTAGCGCATACTCATTAATTCTGTCACTTATCATCTCCGTCTACTTGTTACATTTACCCTTGCCTAACTATTGTGGTGGCCGGTATTCAATATAATCCTTAAACTTCTCATACAGTTCGTCTTGATAACCGTCCTACATAACGCCCCAACGGTATATTAATCAGAAGGCGATTACGAAGCGTTGATTACGTTTATTACGTGACCACACACAGATATCCGAAATTACAGATGCGTTTAACAAGCATAAAAGAGTTGTGTTGACAGGTAAGCAGGCAAGCGAGCGAGCGAGTGAATCAGCGATTGTGTCGAAAGGCAAGCAGGCAAGCGAGCGAGCAAGTGAGTCAGCGAATATGAATACGAGTAAGCAAGTGCAATTAAGCGAGCGAGATCAATGAACATGAATAACATGGACATAAATATACATAGTGGAATGAATGAAGCATCGAATCAATGGAGCGGTTAGTAGTAAGGCCAGCAGTGTGAATAAATGCGTGGGCAGCAAGCAATGCTCAAGCATACATGTTCATACATTCGCAACAATAATAAAGATACAATGATGTAGATAAGTTGTCGTTGTACGAATGATTTAGTTCGTTAATCAGTTAACAAAATGACTTAATCGAATTATTTGTGAACAAACTCAATTTCACGTGAGCAGTTATACTATAATCCATAGGCGATTTATCTATTTATTTCTGACCTTAGTCTTCTCTCAGCCTTTTTACTTTGTGATCCGAAGGATCAAATATTACGAGCAACCGATCACCTGCTGATAACTGTGACGGCTCACGGTTGCAGAAATTCTTTTTTCATGGGACAAAGTTATTCACACAGACTTTAAGATGTACATACCTACAAATAACTGCTCAACCCAATAGAACAAGTACAGTTGGATAGCTAGATTAGAAGCCACAGAAACCACGTCGTAAAATCAAGAAGCAAGTACACAAAAGTTATTTGAAGTACACAAGCCTGACAGCATGACATTAGGTATTGGACAATTGAAAGTATTGTTAAACGGTTTTGTTTGTTCAGGTTTGCGCATTAACTCGTGAGAGCCTGCTGTAACTGCGCTTCGAGAATCTGCTGGTTGGTGTCATGGTTGGTTTCTTGTTCTGTTAACTATGTTATAAGGCTGCTCGTGCATTTAAAAAGTTCGCCCCTCTTTATGACCGTGTTTTGGTCCAACGTTTTGAAGCTGAAACCAGAAGTAAAGGTGGGATCATGATACCGGAGAAAGCTAAAGGCAAGGTTCTTGAAGCAACTGTGGTCGCACATGGTCCTGGATCGAGAAATGAAGTAAGTTACTTTTTATTAATTGTACTTTCTGTAGAAAGGTGAAGTTGTTCCTGTGTGTGTCAATGTTGGTGACAAGGTTTTCCTTCCTGAATACGGTGGTACTAAAGTCGTACTGGACGAAGATGTAAGTACAGTTTAATTTGAGTATAATGCTTGCAGGAGTATTTTCTTTTCCGAGAAACTGACATTTTGGCCAAGTTCGAGAATTGATCGGTGTTTTAGATCTAGTCCCCACACCTTTGTACACTGATTATTCAAATACCATAGTTTTTCATTTCTAATAAGTCTTTTCGTACATCGTATTTGGGTTATGACAGTGTGTGGCTTATCGTAGGCACAATTCATGTCATTTATCAAGGTTTACGTTTCCTGAAGTAATTTGCGTGGTTATTGGAGAGGCTCAACACCCGTCGCTGAGGTTTAGTTATTACTTACACTGAATGCTAATTTCAAGCATGTAGTTTTAAGACCATCGGGCTGTATCCAGTTGTTACATACGATACTCAAGCATCTTTATTTTAACATATCACTGCATTGATGGCTTAATATGCCAGTAACTCCACATCCATATGTTGGACAGACGCGTCACACGACCTAAGGTTTATCCACGAAGTGGTAGGATAGGCGTTTACCTACTTATGTTTAGTGTTTGTACAGTCAATGCAATGTGTTGTGTTAGTTTGCACAGGGTTGCGCAGAACGTGTCTTCATCCTCCTCTAATATTGGCTGCTGGATCCAAATGTCTGCTTTAATATCTTTGCATATCACTGTACAATTTTATGAATTGAAATGCTTGGAGCTTTCGAATTTATGGTTGATCTGTAGCCATAATCCTCCCTCCACTGGAAAGTTACTGTTCAGGCTGCTGCTATGTAATTCTGATTCAGTAGGTTGTTAAGATGCTTATTATCAGCCTTTTATCGAGATTTTGCGGCAGCCGGATCAGCGTTCTAGTTGTTGGCAGCCTGGGATTTGTCTTTTATTCTGTTATTGGTCGCCCACAACCAGTGTAACATTTTTGACTAGTGACCAATATCGTTACTTGGTTTTATCACATGCTGTGAGGAGCTGTAGTTGGTTACACAGTCTTGCACTTCTAGTGGGGTATTTTGTTGGTAGTTTTTAAAATATGGTATATAGTAATGTTCTTCATTAAGCATGGACATATTCCAAGCACCTATAATTTTGTTGACCAGTCAGTGGTTAGCTGTCAGTCAGTTTAGAGCAACGTAAGACGGTCAATGCATGTGCATCGAGCTAACTTACCGTATCACGAGAAAGCCAGATGGGCATCAGAATGATTAGTGTGGTAATGCTAATGATAGTAAGGAAAGATTAAACATGAACAATATTAATCGTACAAGAAGAATGAATCCACAGAATATAATGGCGATCCTAAGGGAAGTAAATGAATACACTTGGGTCGTCGGGCTGATTCTGAGGCATGTCACCCGACTACTGGTCAGGACGATCACACATGCTCTAACCAGGTTGTATTGTTCTTGAGGGATTTTATGAACTGTTACTTTCTTGGTCTGGTCATCCGTAACTTTCTTCCAACCTGCCACAGTCTATGTAAACTGTATTAAGTATGGTAAAGAATGTGGCGTTTTGATAACTTATCTATGTCGATAAGACTTCGTATATTTCGATTTCGCTTCAGTGATACAATCCAACTAGTCATATCTGGTCCCTTTTAAGAAGCGCAACATGAAGTTAATCCACTTAATATTATCATTTAATTTCATAAATGTAATGTCTGACGAATATTGTTCGTAGGGAATGTACATTGAGTAAATCAATTTCCTGATAACCAATGCTTATAATTACTTTCCATAAGCATACCGGTTTACTGATTGTATAAAGTAGTTTGTTATATTCTTGGTTAGTAGACTGAATTACTTTCAACTTGTTTGTCAGGAATTACTCCCTTCGAACATTTTATTTATAAAATAAATGTATATCTGTAACATAAAATGGATCGCATTAACTTCAGATAGCGTCTGTTGTCCTTGTTTTTGAGAAAGTTTGTCAAAGAGACTACAATGAACTGATGGTCTTAAGTGAAGTTAAAAATAGTTGTTACAAACAATATGATAATGTTTCACTTGTTATTAATGGGTCAATATGCAAGTTTAAATGTAAACTATGATCCAGCCTAATCTATAACTTCAAGTTCTGCGGTCTTGAAGATTCCTGAGAGATACTTGCAAAATAAATGCCTAATTTTGCCACATAAGAATCATCAAGATAATTATATATGATGCTAAGTTAAGTGTCATGTTTGGTATTAAAAACTGATCTTAGACGACCACTTGAAAATAGGAAGCACTGAATATCAGTTCAATCTTAGTATGGGACATATCAGCAGTGTACGTCTGCAACCCTACTATAGACATTTTTTACGTCATAAGTACGGAATTCTACCCAATTTTCACAAATAGATAAAAATAATAGCTGGATTGTAGTTTTGTCTTCGAATGTTCCTAATTATTATCATTAGTATTAACAGTGTAGATTAACGAATAAAATTAGACTGAAATCTTAATTTCTTCTGACGGGAATAAACGTATAGTAAAAAACAAGTCCTACATTACATCCTGATCTAAAATATTAACTATTATCCATGGTTACTTTTGTCGTTTTTGTACAAATTACAGCGTAACTCAGCTGTGAAGCATTACTATGTCTGTGCTACTTGACTGCTCAAACATCAATAGTTAAGATAAGGTGCGAACTCGCAATTCATTGGTTGATAATCAAGTAAAAATTACAAATGTGGTTTAACGTGTGACACCTTCCAATTATTTTCACATATGACATAAATATCAAGTGAAAAGTGTTGGTTGACAGACAGTGTTTGTTAAAACATGGAGGTTTTTCGTTGGTTTAAGAGAAATGTGTATGTATAGTCACCATATAGTTTAATACCGAAATATCGAATTTAAAATGGTCTACTTATGAAGTGGTGTCAATCCATAAAATCATTGGTTGATTTGTTGTCATGGGGCTAAAAAAACGATTTAGATGATTTAGTATAATTAGTTACCATAATTAATTTGAAACATTGGCACAAAGAGGCACTGAATACATATGCGCCACACTTTATCATTCGATTTGTGTGAGGACTGGGATACTGTCCGGGTACCCAGACTGAAGCGGGTGGTTCTCTTAGGGAATCATTCCCTGAGCTTTTGACCTAGAGGTCTAATCCACAAGGCGGTGGAGAAACGTAAGGAGATGCAGTCCCATGGTAGCTCGTGACCACCAATATGTTCATACGCCATTTATCCCCTCAGGATCCTGGAGCTCATAAGGGTTTTAAGACTCCCCTAGGTGAACTCTCTGTATCCAACCAACCCGGTTGAAGCACCAGACATTGGCTTTTTTCCTCTCAACTTTGTGAACAACAGTCCCTTCATTGGAAGGTATTTAGTAGAACTTTTGTGGAAGTGGCTGTATACATGTGGTCATGTGAGAGGATTTCAAGTGGAAGAGCGAATTCTCCCAACCCGTAGAATAATATGATCTCATTTTAATTGAATGGGTTCTGACCAATTACTTTCGACCATGTTCTTATTGAAATAAATTAAGAAGTTTCAGTTTTTTGTCCGTTATATATTTCAAAAGAATAATGAAAGTCATTAAGGATAATTTAGATGTATTGTGAACTACTTTTCGAATGATCTTAAGGACTATTTTTTCACTTACAAGACAGTTTTCGATGACACACTGTTTTTTAACCTCAAACAATTTTGTTCCCATTAAGAAATGTTCTATTAATCAGTCATATTATGCTCAAAATAATAAATAATGGATTTCAATAAACGTATATGAAGTTTTGTAAATATATTCAGTATTTTGATCAGTCTATTTTCAATTTTTACGAATAAAAAGAGTGGGAATGCTTTGAACAGTTAATGGTGACCATTACTTTCAATTTGTGTAATATCCCACAAATGCTCTGGTACGGCCGAGAGTGGGAAGAGTCCGCTCTCCCTCTCGAAATGCTCTCACATGGCCACGCGTATATAGCCTCTGCCAGGGAAGTCCTACTCACTGCCTTCTCGCACCACGATGTTGTTTACGAAGTTTAGAGGACGAAAAACGAATGTCCAAAGCCTTAACCTGGTTGGTGGATATGGAGGATCCACTCAGTGGAGTTGGAAAACCCTGATCTCAAACCAATGGTTCACATAAGCTCCAGTATCCTGAAGGAACAAATGGCGTAGGAACCAATCGTTGATCACCGGCTACCATGGGACTGCATCTCCTTACGATGCCTTGTGGATCAGACCTTTAGGTCGAAGGCTCCGGGTATGGCCACCTAAGAAAACCACCTGCTTCAATTTGGGCACCCGGGCAGTATCACAGCCCTCACACATATCAAATGAGATTTGTGTGGCGTATATGTATTTAATGCCTCTTTGTACCAATATCTATGTGTTAAAATAAATAATATAAATAAATAATCCCACAGTACACACATAAACTAATAAAATTTATTGTATTTATTAGTGTGATTACATTCTTTCAAATCTTGCAACAGTTATTTCGAGTATTTTTCGCCCTCCTTGAATGAATTACAGTGTAAACAGAACAGCTTCCATATTCCTGTACTCTTAGTTCCCATTTCGGTTATTGATATAATACATAGATACTGACTGTCATTTACGTTATCGTATGTTGTAATTAATCTTAATATTATCAAAACATGAAACTACTTATCTTTCCAGACACATGGACAATTTATTTGCTTCAGATATATCATGAGTTGAGGTTTATCCATGTTCCTTAATAACAGAACTGTTTGTTAGATGGATCGTTCTTTCTGAACCTCGATCTCATGCATATCTTAATCATGTAGTTGGATGTTTCCATGGAATTAACAAATTTTCTAAATTGCAGCTGTGAAAAAAAACGTATTCTGCAAATTAAACAAAATGTTTTGTAGAAGAATAACCTAAGCAACCAAATAAAGAGGAAAATGCGTTGGAAAATAATGGGGGAAAAGCGCCAAAATGTCAGCTTTATGGTCTGTCTGGAGGAAATAATGCTGATTTCCTCCTTTATATCGCTCTGTGTATTAAATATCGCTGAATTGTCTACTTTTCGTAAACTTTGAAGCTTACGAATAAACTTATCGACGGAATACTACTTGGGATTTGCTTGGAATTTTATGTAGTACATCTCATAACAGTTGAAATTATTTATTATTGGCTTAGAATATTTAATTTATAATACGAATGAATTCCACTGATCTATATGCATTGAATGTAA